AAAGAAAGAAAGAAAGAAAGAAAGAAAGAAAGAAAGAAAGAAAGAAACAATTTTCATTAACCCAACAAGCATTTCCTCATCTGCTGTAACCAAAATACTATGGAAAACACTCTGTGAGGCTTGAAAGGAACATTGGCAAAGGAGAGACCATGGTCCCTGCCCTCCATGCGTGCGTGCTCCAGCTTGGGGAGATGAAACGTGCACGGGAGACCTCCCTGGTTGGGGGAACACTAGTTCGAACCTAGGGTACCAACACTTATAGGGCTTTGCACTTCATTCATGATTAGAATGACATGAAATGGCTCTTTCGAGATACTTACCCTGTTGTATAAGGGATGTTTATGCCTCCTAGATTAATACTTTCACATCCAACAATAAATAGGGTTGAAAAACACAGTAAAGACACACCACTGCAGATCATGGCTAGTTTGGCAGATTCTCTTGCACCAAGTTTCAATTTCTTTATAATGTAGCCTCCCAGGACAATGCCAACACCAGCACTGGGGACAATAATCACACCTAGAGAGAAGAAGGGAATCACAGGATTAAGTGAAGTTACACATACTATAATTTGTTTTCTAATTATTCTGTTTCTACTTACTAGTATTAAAGTAAAGAAATAAAAAATACTGTAATCAATAAATCTTCAATGTGTAGGATTTTATAGTATAATTTCTTTTCAAAGGACTCACATCCAAAATGTAAAATAACTTTTACAAAGCAATAAAATAAAGACAAGCAACCCACTAAAAAAGTGAACAAAACTTGAATGGGCCCCTCACTAAAGAGGAAATCCAGCTGGCCAATAAACACATGAAGGTGTTCACCCTCATTGCTAAGAGAGAAATACAGATTAAAACCATAGTAAAATACTACTCTACACCATTTGTGTTGATAAAAATTTAGAAGTCCGATACTACCACATGTTGGCAAAGCTGTAGAGCAATGGGCACTCTACACAGCTGGTGGGATGTAAAATATGAAACCTTCTTTGAGAAACAGTTTGCCATCATATGCATCCTGTAGATGTTGAAGATATACACATCCCATAACAGGTAATTTTATTCCTGGTTCTACACCCTGAAGAAACTCAAGCACGCGGGGACCAAAAGAAGTGTACAAGACATTTGAAGCATCATAATAGCCAAAAACTGGAAATAAACCAAATGTCCATTACTAGATGCATTGCATGTTGTAAGTTCATGTAACAAAATGTCACTATACAGCAATAAATATGAAGGAATATAATAACACACAACCATGAGGATGGATCATACATATACAATATTCAATGAGAGAAGCAAAACAGAACAGAACACATGACATAACGGCATTTGTAAAAAGTTCAAGTGTAGTTAAAACTAAACAATTTGTTCAGGAATGCATATCCAGGCAGTGCAACTATGAAGGAAACCCAGGAAGTAAGTGTCATAAACCCAAGATAGTAGGGGAATAGGTGGGCTTCTGGACTACAGAAAATGCTCCATGCCATGACCTGGGTAATAGTTATACAAGTGTTCACTTCATGATTATTCATTAGCTCTAAATTTTGATTAATGTATTTCTGTGCGCATTATATTTCACAGCCTTTAAAAAAATAAAAATAAAAAACAGTTGTATTGCCTGCCCCAAGAACCTTATGATCTAAAATAGAAATATACAAATCAGAGTACAATAAAACAATTATACAAAAGACAAGGAGAATACAGGGGAAAAAACAAAAGCATCTGAGCCTTCCCTGGGAGAAATCAAGGAGGACTTCACAGAAGTAGCAGTACTTGTACTGAACAAAGTATGAAGAGAAAAATAAAGTTAAGACTGAAATGAGACAACTATATCACTAGAGATCTTGGCAAGAGCAATGTTAAGGATGTTGTGAAGGAAGAAGCCAGACTGCAGTGGGTTGAGATGAGGATTTAGAAATTAGAATTCAGATTCTTTCTAGAATTTAAGCTATAAAAGGAAAAACAGGTTTGGGTCTAGAGTAAGAGTGGAGTCAAGGTAGAGTTGGAGCTTGGGGAGCTCGTTTGCTAAGACAGGAGGGGACTATGCATATTTATATACGGACAAAAAGATTAAAAGGAATGGGAGGTTGAATGTGGAGGGAAAGGTTATCTAATAATGCCAATGCAAGATCCTTGAGAAGTCAAGAGAATATGGAATTAATAGCACAGATAATCAGATTAGCACTGGATGGGGAGAGAATAGGATGGGGGATAAATCAACAGGTGGGTGGTAGCTCTTCAAATTGTAGCTTTTCTGTTTCATTATTTTTCCATTATTTTGCAAACATCATGTAATACATGTTGCAACAGAACACTGGAAAAGCACAGAGAAGTATGAAGGAACAAAAATCCACTGCTTACATTCTGGCATATTTCACTCCAGTCTTTTTTCCATGCTTTTTTACTTCAAAGAATTGATAACATGCTATAGATTCATTTTTTATATGGCTTTGGTTTTTATTTCTGGGTGGGTTTTTTTTTTCTGTATAACTGAAAACAAAACTAACTCTTAGAGGAAAGGGATATGGAGAACTTTAAATATAGCCAAGGATTAGAATAATCATTGTAGGAAAGAAAGTGAGCACTACATGAGAATATGTAATAGGCTTTGCAAATGGAGAGTCCAGTGGGTCCAGATGATATTAGATTTCAGAAGTCTGCAGCTGCACCAGTGCACACGGTTGAATGGTTTGCTCCAGCGTGTTCAGCAACCCACGTAAAGGAGCAGAGGATTAGATTAATCTAAAATCTGAGCTTTGCCTGGCAACCAGTGTTCATTTTATAATCCTCACCCGAGTCCTGATTTTATAAAATCAGTAATGGCCCTTTTACAGATGAGGAAATTGACAGCTCAGAGAAGTGACCAGCCCAGTAGTGCACACAAAGAAGAGAGAGTCTAAGAGAAACTGAGATCTCTGATTCCCAGCCCAGCGCTCTGTCCACATCACCACAGATGTCTCTTAGAACTGACAGATCCCTGGAATCTTTTAGGTTAATTGACCAGAGCTCTAGGCTCAAATGAGCTGGTTAATAAAGTATCATCATTAAGGAAAAGGACACGTTATCTATCTATCTATACAAATCAATAGGCAAAGCTTTACCTTTAAAGTGAAAGTGATACATCCATGAAATTCTTATTTCAGTTGAACAATTTACATGGTTCTAGACCTGGGGGTAACAAACAAAACAAATCTCCATGCTCATAGCTCAAGTCCTAATTTAAAAGCAATAAACCTTACTTGACTATGCATCCTACTTGGTATTCAACTCTTAAAAACAGGAAATTTGTCATCAGTAAATATGAGGTTATATCAAACAGAGGGAAGACCCCTTAAAATTTTCTCCTGATGTCCCCTGCCATCTAAATCTCACTGCACTATCCAAACAGAAATTCTGACCATTCATGATGCTAATCTGTGCATCGCTCAGATCTCCAGCTTAAGTAAGAGACCCAAATGTTCCGTTGTTAGAATATTAGACATACGGGATGGTGTTGGGGAGGGGAATGGGGGGCAACAGTACAAGCTTCTCACTGTCCCTTCTGAAAGCCCCCGGCTCTGGGGAAACCAGACTGTATAGAGCATGGAGGGGCTGGAAGTTGGTTTCCCGCCAACCACCACACTGTCCTCTAGTCCTTCCCAACTTCCCCACTCCCTTGTGGGGAGAGGGAAATACAGGCATCCCCTGCTTTTCCAAGTTCACATCACACCACTTCGCATTTATGGAAAACCTAAGTACTTGTGTTCGCTAATTAAAAGAAACCCAAAGAAGATTTTCACTTTTATGGGGTGAAAAAAAACCCACAAAGGTGACCAGTGAAAATAGCATTCAGCATTTGTTTTGCAGCGAGGGGTTACAGAGGCAGTGAGAGTGGCCCTGCCAAGCCCCTTCCCTGCCAACTACGCCCAGCATCTCAGCATCAGGCCCCACAGCTCTAAACTGTACTTTATCTTGATTTAGTCTGTGCATCGTTAGGAAGATGTTCCAAAGGTATCAGAAAAACCTAAGAGAGGTTGTTTCTTGAGTCTGGGAATGCTCAAAAAATGTTTCCATATAAATTATTTGTAATTGCTTCTCCACTTTATGCCATTTCAGCTTATGAAAGATTTCACTGGAACACTCAACTTTCAGATAGCAAGGGAAACCTGTATATATATAAGATGGGCTCTCCCAGCAGAAGCTGCCCACCTGCCACTCGCCATGTCTGAGTTCAAATTCACCTCACTGGCCCGTGATCACCCCTTCCCTCAGTCCCCAGAGAGCACCCCGCCTACTGCCTCCATTCCTCTGAGTTTCTGCTCCCTATCAAGCCCTTTCGCAGCCCTGGCAGGATGGCTCTGCAGTCCCTGAGTTTCTGTTCCTCGCACCCTCTAGTGGCCAAGACATGGATGGGACCCGTCGGGTACAAAAGGATGGGTGGGGAAGAAGCATCAAGGGCTTGTGTATGAAGGGACAGGGAAAGGACTGAACGTGGAAAGATGGAAATACCTGGACCAAGCCCAGGGACCCAGCCTAAGGTACAGGTGGTAGAGGATAGAAGCCAAAGCAATTGCCAAAGCAATAGAAGCCAAAGCAATGTCTAAGAGACAAATGCAGGTGACAGTGCAGGCCACATGGACAAATTTCCTGAGTTCAAATCTCAGCTCTGTCACCTACAAACTGTGTGTCCTTGGACAAATTTCTAAATATTCCCAGGCCTCGGATTTTTCTCATCTGTAAAATGTGGATACAGGGGCGCCTGGTGGCTCAGTTGGTTAAGCGTCTGCCTTTGGTTCAGGTCATGATCCCAGGGTCCTGGGACTGAGCCCTACTTGGGCTCCCTACACGGCAGAGAGCCTGCTTCACCCTCTCCTTCTGCCCCCTACTTGGGCTTCCTCAGTCTCTATAGTGCTCTCTCTCTCAAATAAATAAATAAAATCTTAAAGAAAAAATAGTATCTTCCTCATAGGTTGTTAGGTTTAAATGAATTAAGACATATAAAATGCTTAAAACAGGGGTACCTGCCTGGTTCAGTCAGAGGAACTACGACTCTTGATTTTGGGGGTCATGAGTTCAATCCCCATGTTGGGTGTAGGGATTATTTAAATAAATAAATAAAAACTTTAAAAACATAAAAATAAAAAAATAAAGTGCTTAAAACAGTGTCTGACCCCTTAGTATATACTTAATAAATGTTGGTGATCATCATCAGAAGTATGAACATCATTATTATCTGCCTAATATGAATGAGTTTAACATTTGTGCAAATAAATATATTGGAATTAGGCAAAATTTCTATATGCTATTTTATCTATAGGATTGAATTTAAACTACTCCTAATGGCCCAACTAAACCTCTATGTGTTTTTTTATATAAACCTTTGTTTGATGTTTAGCTACTATGTGTTCTTAAACACATAAACCTCTGTTAGCTATTTAGTTACTGTGTGTATATATCTGAATCTAAAGAACTCATGGCTGTATTGGTTAGCTGTTGACAAGGCAGAGGATCCTGCTTTACTTCATAAATGGTCTG